ATGACGTTCTTATAAGCGACGGAGATGAGATTTCGTTCCTTGACAGTGAGCTCCTCGTTGTCGGCGGAAGTAGAGACTTTCTCCATGAGCTCGACCATTTCCTCGTAGCGTTCGGCTTGCTCGGCGAGTTTTGCCATATAGACATTTTCCTCGCGGGGAGAAGAAGTAGAGGCGGCGGCCATTGTCGAGAGAGAGAGAGAGAGAAAAGGCAAAGTCGGTAAGAGTAAAGACTAAAGATAAAGGGGTAGGTTTTGAAATTGAAAAGATGTGAAATTTGGGGGGAGTTTTTTTATGGCGAATGCGCGTTGAGGGAGGAGGATAAAAAATGAACAGTTGGAAAGGCAAAAGCAGATTGAAGACTAAATATTTAGCGGCGTTTGTGATTAAAACGCCACTACAGTATGAGCTTTTAGCGGAGTTTGGATAAAAACGCCACTATTGTACAATTCTTTAGCGGCGTTTATATTAAAATCCCACTAAAGTACGGATTTTTAGCGGTGTTTGTATAAAAGCCACTAAAGTACAATATTTAGCAGCGTTTTAAGAACAAATACCACAAAAGTATGAGTCTTTAGCGGTGTTTTAAGCACAAACTCCACCAAAGTATGAGTTTTTAGCGGTGTTTGTACAAAAATGCCACTAAAGTACCAGTCTTTAGCGTCGTTTATATAAAAACGCCACTAAAGTATGAGTATTTATCGGCATTTGTGCATAAAATGCCACTAAAGTATGAATCTTTAGCGGCGCTTATACCAAAACGCCACTAAAGTACAAATCTTTAGCGGCGTTTGTATAAAAATGCCACTAAAATACAATATTTAGCGGCTTTTATATAAAAACGCCACTAAATTATGAGTATTTAGCGGCGTTTGTTTAAAAAATGCCACTAAAAACCCATTTTTAGTAGTGATTAAACCAAATTATATCAACCAGTGGATGGTTATCAAATGGCTAACAGAAGCAGGGATTGTGTCTGGGATGGTGTCGTGTGTCAACTCGATCTAGTTACCGTTTTTGCTCTTACAATTCTCTTTGAGAGGTCCACTCTTTCCGTCTCTCTCCTCCCTCACCCATCTAGACTTATCTTCCAATTTTCTGTTTTGGTATGCAGATGAAGAGAAAGAGAAATAATAAAGAAAAATATAATTAAAAAATTTTAGGTTTAGTCTTTAGATTATTTAAAATTTTAGAATTAATTTTAAATGAATTTTGAAATTTTAGAATTTTTATAAAAAATATAATAAAAACTCTAGTTGGTTCAATGGTTAAGCTTTAAGTTCTACTTCTGTAGGTATAGAGTTTAAATCTCCCAAGCCACAATATTTCAATATTTTTTCTCAAGCAAAATTACGTTGATTTAGGCTTTTTAAGCACCAAAATAGTCATGTCAAAACGACGTTATTTTTGTGAGGCAACCAGTCAACAACGTCGCGATGCACGCCTGCCATGTCATCATGCCATTAAAGCATTAACGGTGGAGTGTCATAATTGAACATAAAAGTAAACGATAATGCTAAATTTGACAAAATTAAAAGTGTAATAGTATAAATAAGTCAGCGCTTAAAGTTTAATGGTATATGATGCAGTTTACCCTAATATAACATATCATTATTTTTATTAAGTTAATAGTAAAATTTAATAAGTGACTAAACTAAGAATAAAATATAACACTACATATAAATTTTTTTAAATTAAGTGACGAAAATAAAAATACAACAATAAATGAATGACCAAATAGATAATTTATCAAATATAAGTGATATGTTAAATTTTAACCAAGCTTATCATTATACTATTTTTTTTTGTTTATTAAGCTAAAGTGATTACAATGTAGTATATGTTTTAAATATTCTCAATTATTTAACAATGAATGTCCTACTACAATTTTTGTTATTTGAATCTGAAACATTTAGGTATAATAATAATAATTCATTTTACCACTGAAGTAATTTAATTCATACATTATGTTATTATGCATCATCTAACCATCCACACAAAATCACAAAAATGAAAATAGAAAACTTAAAATTTTAAAAAGTTAGACAATAATATTGCCTCGCGATTTTATTTACGAAATAATTCTTTGAAAGTTCTGATATATTAAAACGGGTTTTATCAAAGAAATATGAAGATAGTATAACAAATATTATTTATAAATTTATCATTTTAACCTTTAAAATCAATTAAAAAACACTGGATTGTTTTTCTGTTCCCTAATACATAAAAGAAACCCAAGAAAGAAAAGGTCAAATCGGTGCAGAGATTTCGATGGGAGCTGATACGGATCAAAGATTCAAATCTATTGAATCACCTACAGTAACATTTATTGTTATAAGTATAATAATTCGTGATGAAAATAAAATAAAAAATTAAATATTTTATAGATTCATAATTTGAATCTATGGTGATTCATATAAGTCGCATGATATTCAATTTCTCGATAGAATTTCATCGTAAAATTAATGAAAAAGAAAAAAAGCAAACAGAATTAATAACATCAAAATATTATTAAATAATCTTAATAAAAAATCATAAATAAAATAAAAAATTAAATATTTTATAGATTCATAATTTGAATCTATGGTGATTCATATAAGTCGCATGATATTCAATTTCTCGATAGAATTTCATCGTAAAATTAATGTATATAAATTAATAATAAAGCAAACACAATTAATAACATGAAAATATTAGATTAAATAATCTTAATAAAAAATCATAAATATATGAATAGAAATAAGTTGAGGTCTGTAATTACACAGTTTCCTTAAGACATATTTTCGGTCAATCATTGGTGCTCGAGATTTTTGGTTGTCTGTCTCCCATAATACAACAATGAGATGATTAGCGTACAGTAACACAACTGCCGAGATCACAAATTATTTATTGTCTTTATCTATCACCAAAAACTAGAGAAAATAATCTCTTTGAATTGGTTTTTGAATTGTATTTAACCTAGTATGTTAATATGGTATTTATAGAGAGTTCACATAGTGAACAATTGAAAAATTTTAACCTAATGAAACATTAATGAGAATCAATCAATTAAACAATTTTCAAAATTATTATTTTGATTAAAAGAACCTTTTAATATTTATCATTTTAATTCTAAAACAGATTTAGAAAATATGCTCTATTTAAGGAAAATATATTACATTTGAGTTAAAATATTCGCAAGTCCATAAAGAGTTAGATCGGTTCGGACATTCACGTCATTCATATTGTGCACGTCTGCATATTTACGAACCAACAATTAATTCCACATTTTCCTCAACATCATTTAGATTAATTTCTCATTCAAAACACCAAAATTATCACACACAAAAATCCAACATTCACCAATCTCGTTGAGACCAAATCAACCATCAAAATTGTGTTTCTTATGGTGTGGTTGTGAAACCCAGAAAATGAAAAAGCTTTAAGAAAGATAAACCCTATAAAAACTCAGCTTATGGTGTGAGGTTGTGAAACCCAGAAAATGATGTCTGCGATCTGTGAGTCCAAACGAAGTTCAACATTTAGTTTGAAATTTTCATTTCAAAAGCTGTCAAAACAGTAATTTAAATTTACTTATTTCACTAAAGCATATATCATCAGTCGACAAAAAAATTATATATAAAATACAGATTTGTGATTCAATTCGATATTATCGTAATAATATTAAATAATTTAATTTAAATAAAAAACTGAATTAAAATACCATATTAATAAATTAAAATTCAACTTAAGTCAAAAGGAAACTAAACCGTATAACATATATTAAAAAATATTTCAAGCACGAAACAAACGACTTAAGTGATAAAAGAATTATTATTATTTTTTTACGTTATGAGTTCGATCACTACAAATAACGGAGTGTGAGCATTCAATTCAAATAATGAAGAGTTATCTATGAATATATACTATCTTATATTTACATAAATTGAAATGACCATTCAACTCAGTTGGTAGAGCACAAGGTTCTTAACCTTGAGGTTGTGGGATCGAGTCTCATGGAAGGCATTTCATAATTCGGAGGTCTTTTACTATTTTATCTCCCCCTTACCCCATTACATATGAGAACAAGGGACAACCATTAATTATATTTACATAAATTAATAAAAAAACTTAAAAAACTTAAAAACTTAACTATTAAAACAAATCAAAACTAATTATTTAAATACTACTAAAGGAAAAATCCCTTTAAATTAATTATGGATAATTAAATTTTCAAAGCCGCATAGACAACAGAGGTCGAAGCCAAAATCAGCTCTGACGGGAACCCAGTACACGTGTACGGTCCGATTGAGGCCCCACAGAATGTGATCGTACAAAGGCACAATAACCTTCCGTCCAGTCGCCGGCTTGTTTTCCGGTCAACCACTTCCGGAAAGTTTCCCTTTATCTGATCCCCGATCGTGCCCTTCGTAATCAATCGTGTCATTGCAGGTATTTCCACAATGAAGATCTCTCCTTCGCTTTTTTCTCCCCTGTTACCCGTTTTTTTTTTTAAATTGCGTAAACTGTCTTCTCGAGAGGTTCTATAGTTTTTTATACTCTAAAATAAATGTTATTTTGATTAGTGAACTTCACAGTGTTTGACACTGGAAATGTAATAAATTTCTGGAAATGGTTTGATATGATACAGTTTAAGAGAGATTATGATTATTTGTTATCGGTTTTTTTATTGATTTATTCTGAATTTAGCAGATAATTTAGCGATTAGTGGTTTCAATTTCCACTAAGTTTTACTTTATTTGCTTAAGCCTGGAGTTACAGAATTTTTCTGTTTAGTGGTAAATTTGATCCTTTATTTAATGCAATATGATGTATGCTTGACGAGCCATGAAGATAAGAGTTTTACCTGTTTAACTTTTTACAGAAAAGCTCTTTCAACCATTCAGATAGTGCATTTCATCAAATGCATGCTTGTGTGCCCCTAGGAGCTTTATGTAAAGCAATTGGTGCGGGGAAAAAAAGCTCACCTTATTGAAGCTCTCTTGTTATTCTTTTGTTATAATTTTTGATGGCGTACGGTAATCTTGATACTAGATCATTGAAAAGATTTGGCTGTTATTGTTATCTTTTGCATGGCCTTGGAGTCTCCGATTAGGAATTTGTTACATGTGTCAGTCTTTCCAGAATCAGGGCATTTGGATGACAAAAGATGCCGGTTTAAACGATGGTGAGATGACTTATGATACTTCATCTAGAGTTGATCCCAAACGCTCTCATCAATGGTTCATGGATGGTACTGAGACAGACTTATTTCCAAACAAGAAGCGGGCGTTGGGAGTTCCAACAACCAATTTATTTTCTGGAATCTTGAATTCGAATGTTTCTCCATGGGGAAATGCATCTGGTCTTACTTCAATCTCGCGGCAGTTTTCTGAACGGTTATTTGATAGCGAAACAGCCCGAGCAGTTAACTTTGATGATCAAAGCTATTCTTCTGGTAACATTGAAAAGGTTATCATGGGGAGAAAGGCTAATGAGGATTTATTTACAAGTGATTCATCATTTGGTTTATCTATGTATCATACGTTGGAAGATCCTCGATCTGGGTTGATCTTTGGGGGGATTAAGAAGGTAAAAGTTTGTGAGGTCAAGGATTCGGAGAATATCATGTCTGCATCAATGGGATACGTGTCTAATAGGGTTGATAACAACTGTGTGTCAACTGATCATGATTACAACAAGGTCGAAGATGGTATTATGCCAATGGGCCTTCCTTATAACAAATGGGATTCTACTGGTAAGAACAATGTTTTCATGTCTATGGGACAATCCTATAACAAAAGTGAGGATAACAATGCAATTGCAATGAGCAAATCCTTTGATAAGGGCGATAACAATTTCATGTCCGTGTGTCAAACCTACAACGGGACAGATGATAGTTCTGTAACTGTGGGTCAGACCTACAGTAAAGGATACGACAGCACCATATCTATTACTCGTAGCTACAAGCGGGCAGCTATAATTTGTCTGTTGATCCGCCCTATAATAGGGGAGAGAGTACTATTATATCGTTTGGTAGCTTTGGCTATGACGATGATACAAATCTATTGGGGAGTATTATATCAAGCTATAATTTGTTGTTGGGCCTGTCTTTCATCCAAAGATCAAATGCTCCTAGTGAAAAAGAGTTGGTTCAATCCAATAACGTCATTGCCTCTGGAGCTGAAGTTTCTAGGAGGAAAGATGAGCCGAAAACATCAAAAAAAGCTTCTAATAACTTCCCATCAAATGTTAGAAGTTTGCTGTCAACTGGTATGCTTGATTGAGTTCGTGTTAAATATATCGCATGGTCAAAGGAGGTAAATCACATTTCACGTGTTCTTTTAGTTTACCTTACTGTCTGGTTAGCCTGTTTCTTTTTATATACCTCAGAAGGAGCTCCGTGGTATAATAAAGAGTTCGAGATATCAATGTGGCTGTCCGACATGCAATTTTTCTAAGGTGGGGTTTTTCGGTTTTACCATTTGAATCGAGGGAATTGTTTAGGCCAAGTATGTGTGGTCTGATGTGCGAGATTTCTACAATCTAATTGGTGAACAATGCATATGAGTTTGAGCGGTATGCTGGTTGCAAAACAAAACACCCAAACAATCACATATACTTTGAGAATGGAAAGGCAATTTATGGGATTGTCCAAGAGCTTAGAAGCACACCTCAGAATATGCTGTTCGACGGTATTCAGACTATAACCGGCTCACCTATTAACCAGAAGTGCTTCTGGCTTTGGAAAGGTAATGTAAGGTCTCTAACTGAAATTGCTTCTCTTTTTTTGTTACCTAACATTCTGCGAGTTGCTATAGATATAAATCGCCCGAACATCATTTTTGTTGCAACTACATTTAGTGAGTACTCGTTGTTGATTAAAATAAAAAGGATTTCTACTCGTGTGCGAATCTTATCTTTTTCAGTCATTTTTACCTGCCAGTGTTGAGCTTCAACGTATACATGGGAAGGATGAAATGGAACAGTTGTGTAAAACGACCATGTTCATTTGCAGGGTAGGGTTCTCTTTTGCGTGCATATGACTGTATGAGGGTTGCAAGGTAGGCTTCTCTTTTGCGTGCATATGACTGTATGAGGGTTGCAAGGTAGGCTTATCTCTTTTGTGTACAGAAGAGGGAAGCTTGTCAATGGGTGACGGCACCACTGACTGAACCTGCCTTTTTCTAAACATGGGATAGGAAACATGTTAAAAAGCAGGGAGTCGATGCTTCAAAGAGAGATACTTGTTATTTTATGTATTTCTTTGTATCACCGCATCCGCATGGAACCTTATGGATTTAATTTTTCTATTTTGCTGAAATGTGAGATTTAATTTCTTTATAATGTTGTGTAAACATCAGTTTATCAATTTAAAGTTACTTCTGTCAGGGAAGCAAATTTATAAGCGCTAATTAATTATCAATTTACATAATTTTCAAATTTGACAAAACTCAATTAAAACCTAGCTAAGCTCAGCTCAACTTGAATAAAAGCATATTGGAATGCTTAAATCGCTCACAAATTTTAAAAATTATGAAAAGTAGACCCAACTCAATGGTCTGATTCTTGGCGTGAAGGGGTTCTTAACTTCAACTCAAAATATCAAAGTGGGTAGACATATTTGCTTTCAAGCACAGTGTCATCTAGGAAGAACAATCTAATATGATTACTTGTTGCATGATGTCAAGGATCTATCATTTCACACCAAAAGAGTTATGGATGTAAAAATAATGATAAGCAGGAGCATACAAACATGAACGATATAGTTATAATGAAATTAGTTTTCCCAAACTGAAAGAGCTCTCGAGAGAAGAAATGTACCCTTCAGAGCTCATCGTCAATAGTAGCTTTCTTCAGGACCCGCAGCAACCTGAGTTTTGAGGATTAGCTGCAGACCCTTCTGCCTGATCTCGTTGGCTAATTTTGATTGCATTTGGCTGCAAATAGGAAGAAAATAGACATTACTACAATAAGTATAAATAAACACGTAAAATCGAATGCAATGCTTATCACATTAGGAACTAGTGTTTTTAAATGTGTTTAAGGAAATGATTTGCATAATTATAACAAGTATGCATTTCTTATCAGAAGCAAGAGAATTTAAATTGAGAGATACAATACCTCAACCCTCGCGTCACTATCCGCGAGTCTCTGCTTAATGTCCCTGGCTATTGCAAAGAAAACCTCCTCAACATTCAAGTTAGTTTTTGCACTCTGCAAGACAGGTTGGCTCTTGTACATATATGATAGATCACTAAACATAAAAGGGAACAGCAAAATATGGAGTAAAGATTCCATACAGTCTCAAAGAACTTGATGCCATATTCATCAGCAAGAGCTTGGCCCTTTGAAGTAGGGACAGCCTGAAAAAAATTTCCTCAGCAACTTAATACAAGAAACTGAACCAGGTCAATATGCCAAAAAGAAGGGTAACCATAAATGCAAGCGATAACCTCACAGAAGCGAGCAAGAGAAAGAGAAACAAACCCTTTTGCTTTCATCCATGTCGGCCTTATTACCCACCAGAACCTTGTTGACATTGTCTGATGCATGCTGTTCAATATTTCGAATCCAGTTTCTGATGTCTGAGTATAAAGGGTATTGTTCAATTGATAAGATCATTCTAATGAAAAAAGAATAAAATTTCAAATTAATGTATAAGGAATAAACTTTTCATGTTTCAACCTCTTAGGAAACAGAAAGTTTTGAATGATGAACAAGAATTGGTGGAAACATACACATTTCTAAAGATTCAGAGGTAGGTAAGGTAGAACAACTTATGCATGAAAATCCAAATGATATAAAGTTCAGTAATTACTATTGAAAGATGACTCATCAGTCACATCATACACCAGCAAGATACCCATGGCTCCACGGTAGTAAGCTGCATGAAAAGAAAATATTACTGAACTTATCTGTTAACCAGGGCCTGGAAGACAAAAAATTCAACAAGTATTCGAAAGTAGACATTTGAAGAGACAAAAAGTAAAATACTATGGAGAGGCATAGTTTTCAAACACCCTCAAAGATGACGCTAACATCGAACACCTTCAATCAAGAATCTAGAAAATATGAATGGGTAAGCATCCGTTCTTCAGAATTTTATTTCCAAGTCATGTCATACAATTCAAGTGTATGACAACGGACAGGTTAGAAAAATTGTGTGAACCATGGTAGCAGACAAAATCCTATCTTCCTATTTCCTAAAGACTAAAAATCAGAGAGTAGGAAAATGGCAAAGCAACAGCAACCACCTTGAACTAAAGCTGTTATAGAAATTCACAATTTTTGAGTGAGAATAAATGGCAAGTCAAACGACACAACAGTGCTCACATTAACAGACTCAAGTAAAACAATGCCCAAGTCATGCTATTATGACTAAGTTATTTATAATTCTAAACAGACCATTCATTTCCAGTCAGTTACGCCCACAAACCGAAAAACTAACCAGTTGTAATTGTTCGAAACCTCTCTTGCCCTGCAGTATCCCAAATTTGTAGTTTGATCCTTTTCCCATCAAGCTCTATAGTCCTTATCTTAAAGTCAATCCTGCCAAAATGAGACACGGCCTTATCAAACCACATGCCCTGTTTAGAAACAATACTCATAACAATAATAAGACGAGTTACCACGATTCGAAAAAACCTACCCAATGGTCGTGATAAAACTTGTAGTAAATGAACCATCTGAGAAACGCAAAAGGAGGCAACTCTTTCCCACACCTGCCCACACAATAACATAAGGAAACAGACTATTCAGTTTCAGAACTAAAATTCAAAAAGAAGGCACAAAATATCAAGAAAAACTCCTTAAAAAAGTAATCAGTTATCAGTTCCAAATTATAGGCAGCTACTAATTGTAACAGCCATGGCCTGAATTGAGCAACGGTTCTCTCATGCAAATGCACATGCTACTGGCTCCAATATAAAATCATCAAAACTTTAATCGAGACAAATAATACTTCCATGTCAATGAGCTATACTAAGACACAATACATCATCAAATATATTCATAAGAAAGAAAACAATAGAAATTTAGCATAGAATCACAATAAAAACAGACATTATTTTCCAATCAACCTCGCTATTGCAATAAAATCTTCGTAAGATAATTTATAAGCCTATGCGTAATCTAAGGTAATGGTCTTAATACACACATCACGGTCTCACACCTAGCTTTCCCCTAAAAATAAATAAATCAAATCCTTTCAACGAACGCAAACATTTCGCAAAATCAATGCACATCAAGTAGATCGCATTTCAAATCAAGATGTACAATATAAATAGAAGAGATAAGAAATAATTACCGCTGTCACCGATCAAAAGGAGCTTTATGAGGTAGTCGTAATCGGCGCGAGCTCTTGCAGGTGGAGCAGCCATGGTAATAGAAGCAGATTATCGAATCAAACAAAAAATAAAACCAAACCCTAGACCAACAACAACAACGACAACAAAAAGCTTTGATGTTAATAATCAAATATAAAAAGTAAACATCTATAAAAAAAAAGTAAAAAAGAAATTTTCCGTTTTTTGGATTTTATTTAGTGAATTGAAATGAAAGCAATACCGGTTCAGGGAAAAGCAGAGCGAGATCTGATGGGAGGAAATGAGAGAAATGAGGAGGGAAGCGATTTTGGAACGTCAGCATCGGTTGGCCGTTGAAAATTATTTACTTTTTATTATTTTAAGGGTTAAATATAAAATAATTACCTAAATTACATCACTTTTCACGAAAATATACTTAAAAGTTTAGCCCAAAGTAAAATTTTCCTTCTATTTAGTTAAGGAGTCTTCTTTAACCTCTTGCACTAAACAAAACCAAATACAAAAGTTACTAATCATTGTTAGAGATTATGGAGGGTTTTAAAATACTTTTATAAATTAAAAATATCTGAAAAATGGGTTGGAACCATCTAGTTCCTAAAATCATTCTAAACTAGTTTCTTACAATTATGGCGAAATAGGTGTCTTGAGAGCTTGA